CCGCCCCTGTCTCCCACCAGCCCCTCTCACCTGACTCACTTCAAACCGCTCACTCCGGATCAGGATGAGCCCCCTCTGCGCTCGGCCTACAGCTCCTTAGTCAGCCTCTTCCGCTTCAACAAAGGTGCCTGACAGTGGTTTTTAATAAACCTTCCTGGGAACCCTTGCCCTTGCTAATAGCTGGATCAGACAGTTCCAGATCCTAACTTTGCTCCTTAAGGGACTGCACCATATCCAGAGTTAACAGTTTAGTTGTATGTATGACTGTGCGATAACCATGAGGTGTGACAATGTAGATTTTGCTTTGTTATGCATTCAGCTATAGAGCCTTTTCACAAGTGTATCCAAGATCCAGGGACTTCTTAACACTTGGATAATAACTGCGACATTGGCGAGAGTTTGAAGTCATGTGATGTAGGTGGAGCAGTGCCATGAACACAGTGGGAATTTCATAGACACAGTCATGTGGTTGTCCAGCCTCACTTTAACCAGCTTTCCTTCTTCCTCTTACTGAGTCATATTAGAACAGAGCTGGAAAAGGGCCTGTCTAGTCAAAACAACGTTGATGATTATGAATTTCATGGCAAGGGTTAATGGAACACTTGTAGAAGGGATCTGATAAAAAAAACAAAAAACAAAAAAAAAAACCTATTATTTAAAGAACTGAAGAATAAACTAGCTAGCTGTGATTAACCGGAAAGAGTAAAGTTTGTAACTTACAGTATTTTATATAACGACGTCAGCATTTACTGATTATTTACAATCATTTTAGAAAACAAACTTAAACCAGGAGGAAATGTAATTACACAGTGATTTAATATCTAATTTCTGCCTTTTATTCTTTTTAGAAAAGTCAGGTGCAAACATTGCACCAGCAAAAAAGCTTGGTAAGTCTGGCCCTTGTTATACAAAAAATATAAGCACAGCTAGGAATTGTTTAAAAAAAAAAAAAAAAAAAAAAGATCACCACCATTCAGGGGAAAGCAGATTGGCAGCGGTGGGTGCGATAACACTGAAGCAGCTAACCATCCCTTCATCATAGTGATGTGTTTCTGTGGCTGGGGCTGAATTTCAGTCTTTTTGCTTTCCTACTGGTGTGCACACAGAGGAAGGTCGGCCTCCTTCAGCGGCTGAGAAACCCGAGTCTGCTGCACCATCACCACAGGGGGAGCGGCGGAGCTGGGCCAGCTCCTCACTGTCCACACATGGCTCTGGGACACACAGGAAACACTCCGAGCTGGTCAGGAGAACCTCTACGGCATCAGGTAAATCACCTGCGTCTGTGTATTGCTAATCCGCTTTGAATTAGTCATAATGGTGCAGTTATCATCATTCAGTCACTCGACTACCTTGACCTGCAGTATTTATATCGATATTTTAATATTTGGATTTTTTTTTATGTTTAATGTTGATTAAAATTTGTAATTGTATTTCTGTATAATGTATTTGTCTGGGTTTTGTAAATGCTTTATTTAGTGAAGCAAAATGTTGTCTTAGCTTGGATATAGCATGAGTAAGAACTGGAAATTGGTCATTTCTAAAGTTTTGTGTGTGTTTGTTTTTAAGAAACTCCGACTAAAAGGTTAGAAACAGTAATAAAGGTAAATCCTCCTTTGATTCGTGTCTCATGTGACCTGACCAACTGCTGCGATCCTACTGTTGAATCTGCTGGAAGCTTTATGGAGCTTGTGCATGCTCGGCTTATTCTTGCACCCTCTTTTTCTGGGTGGAATTCTTCCGTGGAAAGCCGAGACAGTCCTGGACAAAGTAAGACACCATTGGCGGAGGAGTATGAATGAAATGGATCAGAAATGATCAGTATCACAAGTTTTAGTACATCAGGATATATAAAACTTCAGATTTTCAAAGAGAACACCAGTGGCAGTGCAAGTACTGCAGTGTTTGGTTACAAAAAAAATACCAGTATAACTTTAAGATTTCTGTCATGTTGATTATTTTTAATTTAAAAGACACTGAAGAGAGGAATTCTGAAAAGGAATGAAAGCACACAAACCTAACTATACACCATGCTCTGTATTTAAAAAAAAAAAATGTTTAAAATGATAAGGTAATCAAAGGACTTAATATAATTTGTAGTGACAAAATAACTGCTAAGATAAATCATGGTGCGCACCTGTAGTTTGGTCACTCGCTTACGACATTGTGGACGTTTTCATATTGTCCCCCTCTTTTTTTTTTTTTTTTTTTTTTGCGCTGCTCTGTTGACCTTCATTACTTTTTCAAAACGAATTTTCTTATTGTGTGGTGACATTTCAATGTTCTGAATCAATTTCTCCAACATGGATTTTTGCCACACGTGTCAAAGCAGGCGTTGTCGAGTCACATCTAATAACTTACTTACTAATAACCTTAAAGCTCAGTCAGCATGTCTAAGGTCTGAAATATAGATTTAATACTATGATAAGAGGCCATGAGTAGTGTAAAGCTGGCTGCCCGTGAGCTGAAATATAAATTTACGTGTTTCGAACGCTACTAAATTTTCAGGGGTCGTGTTGCAGAAACAGCTATGAAACGTAATGTGTTTAGTATCCCTGACTCACTTAGGATCTCATTTAGGACAATAGTTTTTGCAATGAAATCCTGTTCTTTGTTTGTTTGTTTGTTTGTTTGTTTGTACAATGGTATCCATGTAGCTATAGTTTGTTATGTGTTATCAGCTACTTGACATGACAATGGATTATCGACTTTAAGTAGTTTCGGCTTTCCTAAATTGACCATATGACCTTATATCTCAAATCTTAGCTCGGGACTTATTATGTAATGCGGCTTCTCGCGCACATCCGTATTCAGGATAATAATACCCTCTCTCTTAAATTTTCACTTTCGATGCTTGCTT